GGGGGGGGGGGGGGGGGTCATTTAGCAATCAGATATCTCAAACTGAGCAGAGGTATCTGTCTGTACTAGTGTTTTTGTGTCTGTGTGATCCAGCAGGAACTGGCAGAAGAGACTTACCTTAACTGAGTCTCTGTCTGAGAAGGTAAAAGACAGAAAACACAAAATAAGATTAAAGTTTTCATTAAATGAAGCAAACTTACACAAAGTTTGAGAAGCACAGAGATACGCACTTAACTACTGTAGATTTGAATTGATTGTGGCCTTGACTATTTCCTGGGAAATCTATAAAGACATCAGCCCCTGAGCAAATCTTGGTATTTAATATAAATAAAACTGCATACACTCAATAAAATAGCACCTTTCTGCTTCTAAAATGTCGCAGTTTGCCTCTGACTCTCATTTTCACCAAAACACACACACATCATAACCTTCTGCCTGCAAAGGATGGACGAGATCTTTTAAAAAATATATATCTGTTTCACTTGAATCCCCTCACAGTTGAGCTGATGTCAAGAGGCAGAAAACATAAAATAAATATTTTCTAAAATGTTGATAGTTTCAATGAATTGGTAGTTTCAGTGTCAAAAGCAAAAAAATGTATAAGCAACATTTAAGAAATACAAACACACAAGACGGATATGATCTTTTGCACATTCAGAAAACCTGGAACCTTTGTGGTTTGAGGAAAAAAGCTAAAAATCAAATAGAATTTGAACATAAGGTGTAAAATATGATATTCATAAATATGTACAATGGCCATGAAGTTTAAACCGCAACTACAAATTAAAAAACACAACATTTGTAAAAACGCAATTGCATAAATGTAACATTTGTAAAAACGCAACAGCATTTGTAAAAATGCAACAGCAATTTAAAAAAATGCAACAATATTTGAAAAACGCTATTACATTTGAATAAACGCAACAACAATTAAAAAAGAATGCAATATTTGAAAAAACGTAATTACATTTGAAAAACACAACATTTGGAAGAAAAAAAACGCAACATCCATCCATTCATTCATTCTTAAACACAGATGTCGCATTTACATTTGAGTCATGTGGAAAAAGAAAGCTGACAGTTTAAAGGGCACCGTGGAGTTCTATGTATTAAAACATTTTGTTTTGCTTGTTCTGTTGCTCACTGACAGCCTCTGAGTGTGTCTGTGTGCAGAGAGGGAAACTGATATCCGGTTACAGAAACGTTGCAGGATGCACATTAACTACCTGTCGTGTTTTGCCTCTATCTACCACCTGTCACACCCACTTCCCCACCGCTAATCAGCGCTCATGCCCTGCACCTGCTCCACGCTCTAAGAGCTGTATCTACACCAAACCTCTGCCAGATAGTCAAACCCTTCACGGTACTAGATGTCCAGCGCTTCATTCACGTTCTTGTCTGATTCTCTTGTTTGGACCCCACACCCATTTTTTGGATTTACCGCTCTCCCTGTTCCTCATCTGATCTTGTTCTGCCCTTTTGATCCTGGTAACTCCTTCTGGCCTATGAATTCTGGATTATGGATTGCGCTCTGGGTTTGTGTTTGGACCTCTGACTCCCCATGCTTGACCCCTGCTTCGTCTTTCAGACCACGACCCTGGATTGCCCCACTGTCCATACTAATCACAGCATTCCTCCACAGCTGCACTCCCACCAGTTACGGTGACATCATCGCTCCAAACTTCGACAGGTGTAGCCCACCTCGTCTGCCTCAGAAGGTTAGTGGCTGCTCTCGGTTTATAAACAATCTCCCAGAAACATACGGTCCACTAACTATCTCTGCAGATTTGTTCCCGCAACTGGACCCAGACTCCCACCAGCAACTGCAAACCAACAAACTGTTTAACCATTCTTGTTGTCTGGCTGAGTTATCAAATCCAAAACTTGATCCTTGCCACTACCAGGTGTAAACACTCTAAATGAGACAGATCTATAACAAAAGGGCTGAACAGCCTCTCAGTGTACAGTTTCTAATGTGCATGCCTAAAATCAGGCACCAAGCCCCCCCCCAACAGTTTACAAGCTGTACCCAGTCGGTGTTAATCTGTGTTGTTCTAATCCTTTACGCCTGCTTTTTATTGACTGTTATAAACAAACATTTTTGTAAATTAGTTTACTGGTACTTTGTGATAGTGATGTGTAATAATTTGTGAAGGACTGCAGAGCACAGCTAAAAAAGAGTTACATACAGTGGTGGGATGTACCCAAGTACAAGTACTTCATTACTGTACTTGGGTACATTTTTCATGCATGTGTACTTTACTTAAGTAAAGTTAAATGTGGGTACTTTCGACTTTTACTCCATTACATTTTACATTAAGTATCTGTACTTTCTACTACACTACATTTCTATAATGTGTTGTGTTACAAGTTACGTTCATGTTGCGGTTTTTGTTTTGTTCGTTAATTTGAAAGTAACCAATGGCGAGAGGGAAGTTGGTCCACTGAATCACTGCAAAGTGGGCAGGTAATGTTAGACCTGCCTTCAAGAAGTGCTGGA